TAAATGTTATGTTATAATGCTTGTATATGTTGTAATGCTATAGTATAGCTTTGGAGGGATGCAGAAGTCTTCCCAGGAGGGATCAGGCAGCAGTCTATGGGAACCAGCAAGGTGCATTTAACGAGTCGAACTGCACCGAATTTTCCATAGTCTAACGCAGTAGATCCCAAACAAAAACTTTCTTAAGAAGTCTTCCCGTTTCTCACAAGTCCTTATACGGTAAGTGAGCAGCTAGCTATAACAGGGTTCTGTCAAGCCACTGTTTTCATCCCCCCAGACAAGTCTGGTACCACATAATTTGGCCCATGAGGGTACCAGGCTTGGTCACTCTGGGCGTGAGCCTATTCGAAATTGCGCTAATGGTAAGCCGACCATTTGGCGTTTCTTGTCGCCGCTTCATAAGTTGTTGCGCAACAACTTGAACTTTCCTACATAGTCCTGTGGGGTAACACTGCAGCGTAAACAGTCAGAGGGCAGTGGCTGACAGAGCACCGAAAGAGGCGAAAAATCATGTTGTTAGCCTTTCCTCGTATTCTGAGAATCCTTTTTCCCTTTTTTGACCTTTTCAAGGGGAGAGACCGTGGGATGAGAGAGAGCCACTTGTCATGCCTGAGAAACTGGAATATCTCAGGCCACAGCGGTCATGAAATGCCAAGCAGACAAGAGAGCAGAGAGCAGAAAACTGACACGATCAAAGGGATTGAGTTGAGAGGTGTCCACCCTCACAGGTTCAACATGGTGTAGATTATACTACAGCGCTCACTGAATCTTCTGCTCTCGCGTCTGGGAGAACTCATATGATCCCAACTGGTCAAAGGAGATTCGATGTACCACATCTTGTCTGGAGTAAAGACGATCAAGCCATCAGGTCTGATAGCTTGACTTTTCAACGGTGGACTGATTGTGAACCGAACGTTGAACGCGACAAAAATGCAATTTTATCAGTTGATAATCAAGTGGAGTCATTTCTGACGGGAGAACAATGGATCAGAGATCGTGGCGGGGGCTTTTGTCGTGATTGGGCCCGCACATCATCACCTGACGTTCTCACAGGATCTTTGTTCGGGGAAATATATCTTCAATGAGCGGATGCCTTTCCGGGAGATTTCAAAAGCAATTGCGTTCACGCATCACGTGTTAGCTACACTTCACGGTAACATATAAGAATTTCTGAACTGCGGTTTCCATGACGAAGCCTTTTTCAGTCTCAAAGTGTCACATATTGTGTAGAAGAGCTTTGCACATAAGAGCTCATATGTGCACATATATGGAAGGCTTTTGTGCAGAGAGTAATGAACCAAGTTTCTTCCTATTATTTCCGAATAACTCATTGTTTTTGGGCTTTTTCCCTACGGTTGCCAGAAGAATAAATATGTGGACAAACAAGCTACCGTTTAAAATAGTGAAAAGAAGAATAACGGATTCATGCCTATGCTTATGCCGAATAAGTTAGTATGTAAGCTTAAAGGCAAATGGCGCGATAACTTGGTACTCGGTCTGAAATGCTAGCTTATAGTGGTGGGAAATGGCGAAAAAACGGAGTGAAACGGTCAAAGACCTGCAAAGAAACGCCTTTGTTCTTCATGACAGAACGTAGTTTCGGACGAGTTTCCAGTAGGCATCGTGCAGTAGTCGCTACAGTAGGTACGGCAACAGGTATACTCGAAATCCCTGAGATCGGGTAGGCGTGGCCGCATGCTTCAACTTAACCTGAAGGTGTCTATGCTTCTGGTGAGATATTTTCATCTTGACACAATTGTTGTCGTGTCTCTGTCCAACACAGAACAAGATGACAGTTGTCCCAGACTGGAATATTCCACGAGTAACCAGTTCCGTGCCATGTTCAAATGCCACGCCTACTCTGGCTCAGGGATAAGGAGTGTATGTACTCATATATCCATGCAGCACCGCGGCCGCTTCATATCAAACATATTTTACTTCGCAAATGGAGCAATACGACCATCAGGTACGGTGGTCCATTTGTGGGCGGGCGGGCGGATGGGCGTGCGGCTCGGTATGTTGCAGCTTGATAGGCCTAGGGGTGACTTCGAAACCTTTTTTGGAAAGGCGCTAAGCAGCGCCTGATCACGGGGCGGCGGAGTTCTGCAGCGTCTTTAATCCTACACGTCTTGTTAGATTTATCGCCAACCAGGGCACGCCATCCAAGGCACGCGATCGCGTTGTGATCATATCTTGAAAAATACGACCCTCCCCCAAATTCCATCCTCAGTTACCACCCACCCCCTCTTTCTGTGCTACCTACCACTTTCTTAGATTTTCGCCAAATCCCAACCCTTTCCACTTTTTCCACGGAAAAATTCCAGTTCTTCAGGCAAGACTATTCGTGTAGGGGAAGGGGCTATATACGCCAATGTTGAACAGGAAAGTTTTTTCTCAGATTCTCCCTAAACCTCTCACGAGTTTTTTCGAGGAAATAGCACAAGGAATTCCTCTGCGATTTTCTCTCCCTCACGGGTCTTGCGCGTAACCCTCAATATTCGCTGTTCTCCTCTCTCCTCGTATAAAAGTTGCAAAAAGGCAACCCCTCCGAGGACGATACCATCTGCGAGAAGAAGGGGTGAGCAGGTGTACAGGTGTAACATTTTCGGCACCCTAAAGCGCGCGAATTGAGGCTTATAGGTAGGATGCCCCCAACCTTTCGATGTTCAACAACGACATAAGCTGCAATCAAAAACAAAGACACACGGCTCGAAGAAGGTCATTCACAATGTGCAACAAGTAAATAAGTCTGCAGCTTGCAATGAGCGTGCAGCTTCTTCGTCTTAGAATCGCAGAACAGAAGGCTGGAGAGTGTAGTATGTATCGGGGCAGTTCACAGAGAGTATATGCCATATCCCGGAGATGGGAGTGCGTAGCTGAGTACTCCATAAAAACGCGGCTTTTGCTGCGCTTCTGGCAGGATATTTTCGATTCAGGACAAGTGAACTCGTGCTTTCGCCCAACACAAGCCGGATGACAGTTGTCTCGAAAGGGAACATCGTACGAAAAGCGTATCGTGTGCAAGGTATGGGTCAGCCACGCCCTCTCGACCTCTGGGATATGGAGTGTAGTGAAACTCGGTGTCATCTCCATACATATGCTCTCTGCCCACGCTATAGTCAAGGTGAAGCACTTTCGTCGATAGCAAGGTCCCGAAGGGAAATACGCACCCAGCGAAGAGAAGAACCAGAAACGATAGATCACAGGCCAGTTGCGCTTTGGCTATGGTTGGCGTATGGATAGCCATGCGGCAACGCCGGCGGAGTCATCATCCGGGTATCATTACCCTTCTAGTTCCATCCGTGCACTTTTGAGCAACAGAAGTGGCACGCTGCAGCAGCTGCGCCTCCCATCCACCTCGCGCACGGCAAGGACCAGGATCCACGTAGCAGAGTTCGTCTTTAAGGAATGAAAATATGTAAGGGTTCTGCCTCATAAAAACTCCTACGCTGTACTCCTATAAAGAACAAATAAGCCCAAATCCAAAGCTATACGGTGACATGGGAATCTTTTCCATGAATGATCAACAAATGATGAGGTCCTGAATAAAAGAATTGAGCCGTGGAAACTTTTCGCCCAGAACTTCAGTGCCAAGATTGGTTTGGATTGCATTTCCGAATCACATGTCTACGGCTATGCGGAACTGCTAGAATTTGGTTCCGTGAAAATGGTTAAAATTCTTGTCTTTTCTCGGCCATGGTTAGCACTAGGCACGAAGTTAGTGTACTGTTCTTCGTTCCTCTTAATCCCTAGTAATTGCTCCCTAGTTGTTGGTCCTGGCTGAATTTCGAGAAGTTTTAGCTCAGGACTTGATGGCTTCGAAGTGCAGCCCCTCAAACTCTCCAGAGACCATCCGTCTGTCCACGGGACTTGTGCATTCGTTCGTTTTTCCATTCATCGCCCATTAATCTTCTTTCATGGCCTATAAATCGATAACGTTTTTCTTGGCCAATGCACGTTTGCTCATGCTTTCACTTGCATGGCCTCATGAAAATATTGATAGCAAAATGAGTTTTATAAATCAACTAACAAAAATTTCTCTTGACTATGGGCAAAATTTCCTCGCCCACACACTCGACTATCTATCTGCGATGCAGTTGATTCTAAAGTGATGGTGCTCTATAACGACTTGACGGAGCTTGCTGATGTCCAAGTTGTCTTTCAAATAAGTCTGATAGCAAATAGCCGTCCCATG